AAATGAAAAATTTATTAAACCTGGCTTTACTTAAAATTCATATATATAAATTGCAGTGCTTCACCGCCTATTGCAACATCGGATGAATACAGCTCATATTCAAGGCACCGTGAGTTCGACATTTTTCACTGTGCCAATTTTATAATATCCATCCTTATATGACCTTAAGCGAAATAGGATTACTTAAGTTATTATTACAGTTGCGAAAACTACTCATTTAGCATATACCCTTTACTGTCTGCGAATGAATGCTCTTCACTGCTAACTTAAACGAGTATTCGCCCTGAACCTGAAATCCTTGGCTCAGGTCTGCAGCTTTTTCCCATTCTTTAGAAAATTAGCACTGGCATACACTATCGATATGGGAACTGAGCCAATATCTGGTAAGTTTCCCTTCCAAACTCGAACTTGAGAGGTCAAAGAGCCTTTACCATAACAATTGTAGATTCAGCACAATGTGAACATACTTTACTTTCACATTATCATATGAAGTGAAAGTGAGATAAAGATCTACTGTATAAGGGAGTTTAGGAAACCAATTTCCTTTCATTCACACATAAGCTCAAGCATTCTATTTTTTCATTCAGAAATTGTATCCGTGCTCTGTCTGGCTCATCCACATATCCAGTCGTTCACACCCTCCCACAGCCTCCTCAATTAGTTCGTTCATCTTTGTTCTTTCATAGCCCTTACCTTGTACCTCTATTTATCCCTTAGCATACAATTAACCCATTTTTCGTCTTAAAATAGGATTTCGAGAACGCATCAACTTTGCAAAATAATCTTCACCCTGTTCAGCTCTCGGCCCATCCTTTTGTTTGTTCATCCTTGCACCCGATCATACAGATTTAAGCCACCTACGGATCAGGGCTGGTCAAACTGCCAACCAACAAGTGAAATGTATTTAGTTAAATAGGTCCATGCTTTCCACGATCTACTTACTCATCCTCTAAACTACGTGCCATCATTTGGAGGGAGTTCCCTTTTCTGCATCCGCACCTCTAACCTACAGCGTAGGTCCACTTCTGGCCCATTTCAGTAGATCCTTTAGAGAAGAGCTTGCTTGCACTGTTTGTGTGCGGAATCAACTTGCATCCCACCAACAGGCAACACATAAGCTTCCCCTTCGACTCCTGCCTACCTTCATGGTCCACCACGGAGGGGCTCTGGCTCTCTTGGCTCCCCGCTGGCAGCGGATAACCGCCCAACGACATGCGTAACTCGGGCATCGGTCGAGACCGCGTTGCTGTGCAGACGGCCAGTAGGTGTCGGCCAACTCTTGGCAGACCGGCTTGATTTACATTTCCAGCGTAGACTAGGCCTTGCAATGGTCTACCGGCTGGTCGGTATGGCAATGACGGCCGGCCAGCTGAGTCCTTGTTCTCTGTCACCACCCGGCCTCGGTCCCGAAGAGGAGGATCGTTTTGTAGATTCAAGGGATGAAGCTCGAGAAGCATGTTTTCAATCGGATCTAAAGGATTATGAGAGACAAAAGTGGATATTCTGCAGAAGAGTTTTAGAAATGAAATTTTCATATATTCTCGTCTATATATACAGA